TCACTCTCATCTCTCAGGTTGAAGTGCAATGGTGCAATCTTGGTTCACTGCAGCTTCCACCTCCCAGGCTCAAGTGATCCTGCCGGCACATGCCAGTGCACCCAGCTAATTTTTATATTTTTTATAGAGATGAGGTTTTGCCATGTTGCCCAGGCTGGTTTCGAACTTCTTAGCTCAAGTGATCCACCTGCTTCTTGGCCTCCCAAAGTACTGAGATTATAGGCATGAGCCACTGTGCCTGGCCAATAATAGCTATTTTGAATTTTCTGTCTCTAAGGTTGTATATTTCTGTCTCTCTGGAATTGGTCACTGGTGTCTTATTAGTTCGTTTGGTGAGATCATGTTTTGTTCGATGGTCCTGATGCTTGTGGATGCTCATTAGTGTTTGTGCATTGAATGATTAGATGTTTATTGTAGACTTCACGGTCTGGGCTTCTTTGTACCTGTCCTTGGGAAGGCTTTCCAAGTATTTGAGGGGAATTGGGTGTTGTACTCTAAGTTTTTCGTCACTGTAGCTGTATCTGCATTAGGGGGTACCCTAAGCCTAGTAATGTTGTGGCTCCAGCAGACTTGTAGAGGTTCTGCCTTGGTGGTCTTGGGTCAGATCTGGGAGAATTCTCTGGATTACCAGGCAGAGACTCTTGTTCTTTTCCCTAACTTTCTCCCAAACAAGTGGAGTCTCTCTCTGTGCTAAGCTGCTTGGAGCTAGGAGCAGTGACACAGCACCTCTCTGGCCATTAATACTGGGACTGGGTTGGGACAGGCCTGAAGCCTGCCCAGCACTCGATTTTGCCCAAGGTCCACATGGCGACCACTTGCCTGTCTACCACCTATGTTTACACAAAGCCCAAGGGCACTACAATCAGTAGGTGGCAAACCCAGCCAGGCTTACGTCCTTCCTTTCAGGGCAGCAAGTTACCCCCTGGCTCTGGGCAGACCTGGAGATGCTGCCTGGCAGCCAGGGCCTGATGTCGAGAACCTTAGGAATCTACCCGTTGCTCTATTGTGTGGTAGCTGAGCTGGCACCAAGGCAAAAGACAAACTCCTTCCCACTCTTCTCTTCCCTTCCTCAAGCAGAGGAATCTCTCCTGTGGCCACTGCTGCTCAAGGCCTGCAGCAAGTACTGCGTGGCTATTGCTGATATTCACTCAAGTCCAAGGGCTCTTTGGTCAGCTTGTGGTCAATACTGATAGGCCTGGGTATCTCCCTTCAGGGCAGTGGGCTTCCCTGTGGCCCAGGGTGGGTCCAGAAATACCATCCAGGAGGCAGGGCCTAGAATGAGGGACCTTAAGAGCACACTTGGTGCTCTACCCCACTGTGGTTGAGCTGATACCCTGGTCCCCTTTACTCTTCCCTATCTTTACCTCAAGCAGAAGGAGTCTCTCCCTGTAGCTACCACAGCTGAGAATATATTGGGTCACTCCTGAGTCCAGCATGGCTCTGAGTTTCACCCAAGGCCCACAGTGAGTACTGCCTGGATACCACAGTTGATTATACAGAGCCCAGGGCCTCTTTGGTCAGCAGGTGATGAATGCTGCCAGGATTAGGTCCTTCCCTTCAACCGTGCTGGTTCCATTTTGGTCCAAGGTGTGTCTGCAAATGTCATCCAGAAGCTAGGGCCTAGAATGGGGGCCTCAGGATTCTGGTCCCTTGTTCTACTCTGGCTGAGCTGGTATCCAAATTGCAAGACAAGGTCCTTTTTACTCCTGTCTCTTCTTGGGCTATGAGCAACAGTGCCTAGCTTTGCAGTAGGGGTGGCACAAGCACTCCCTGGCCACTCCAGCTGGTATCTCAATAGGTCATGTGCACCATAAGTCTACTGGCCTAGTGGAGTGGCAGTAACAGACAACATAAGGTAGGCGTTGCATTGTATTTGAGAAGATGTGGAGAGGACTGTGAACCTACTTTTGTGCAACACTGAAAAGTGTATGCTTCCTTTCAGTTAACTGACATGAGTCTTTGAAGAATAGACTCACATTCTGAGTCTGAGTGAATATTCTGTCATTTGATACCCTTCTTAGCAAGCTGAAGTCTTGAAAAATATGATTCCTGAATTTTCTTGATTTCTAGAATAATATAGTGTGTTCCTCAGAAGAAAGTGGTGTCTTGAAAGGTGTTACTTTCAGAAACTAATCTTTTTCCTTTTTTAAAAATAGGATTAAAAGAGTAAAATTAATATCTAACAAAGGGACTGAAACTGACAATGACCCAAGTTGTGTACCTCCTATCAAGAAGAGACAATGTCGACCAGAGATTAGAATGTGGCAAACAAGAGAGAAAGCAAAGTTTTCAGATGGAGAAAAGTGCCGTAGGGTAAGATTTAGATGGATTTAACAAAACTTTTTTTCCCCTTGTAACATTTTCCTATTAAGACTCTGTTAGAGGTATAAAATAGATACTAATAGGTTTGTAAATTTGTCCTAACAAGTAAGTAAAACCACAGGATATGACAAGAAAATATCACATGAAAACTGGAGCTTAGTCTTAAAATATCTATTACTAGACTTACTAGTTTTGTGAGTTATCCAGCCTTAGCAGTAGGCTGGTAGATTTAATAAACAGATTAGTGAAGAGGGTGCTGTGTCATATTCCAGAGAAGCACTGATAGTATAGTAAGGGTTTGGGAAATATTTTGTGGGTTTAGGTAGAGATGGTCTGCTCTATGTCTATAACTATACACTTTTACTTTACAGTCTTAAACTGTTTTATTTGTTAGATTATGGCATTTAGTCTAATATTTATTGAGCCATTACTATAACCAGGCATTGTTTTAAGTACTTTACATATACTAACTTATCCCCCTTTTTTTTTTTTTCAACAAACCTGTGAAATAGATGCTTTTATTATCATTATTTTTCAGATGAGGAAACTCAGATACAGGCAGATTTAGTCAATTGCTCAAGGTTATGTTTCTCGTAAGTAGAAGAGCTGTGATTCAGGCTTAGAGTTTGACTTGACTCTTGGTTTTTGAATACTACATAACAGCGCCTCATCATTTAGCATATTTAGTTTCAAGTTAATATTTTTCTTAATTGAGATTAATATATGGATTTGTTCAGCTTTGGGTTAGTTTACTTTTACTGCTTGGTGGTTTTCGTATTTTTTTTTTTGTTATCACTCATGTAGCTTACTAGAATATTTTGGGTTGTGCCCTGTGAAGGTGTTGTTGTTCTCTTTGTAGGAGGCTTTTAGGCATTTGGGTAATGGGGTATCTGATGACCTGTCAAGTGAGGAAGATGGTGAAGCACGGACACAGATGATATTATTGCGTAGGAGTGTGGAAGGGGCCTCAAGTGACAATGGTTGTGAAGTTAAGAATAGAAAATCAATACTTTCAAGGCACCTAAACTCTCAGGTAATTTCTGTTTTAGTTTATGAAATTATAGGACTAAATCACTGAATTTAGTAACAAAGCATTTAACATAGTTTCCTATTGCTTATTGGTTTGATTTTTGGCAGGTAAAGAAAACCACTACAAGGTGGTGTCATATTGTGCGGGATTCAGATAGTCTGGCAGAATCAGAATTTGAATCAGCAGCCTTCAGCCAGGTAAAGTGTCCCTTTGAGAAATCAAGGTATATTTTTGAGTGTAATAACTTTATCCATTCCTTTTTTTATTAGTTGGCTTAAAGTAGCATTTACATTAATATTTGCCTGCCCTCCTTTGTCTCCAATTATCCATGTCCTTATCTAGCAGCTTTTAATGACTACACACCTAGAAAGAGAAATAATTTTTTTCCATATTGACTCTAAGCTTAAGAGTATCACAGATGGGCTGGGCATGGTAGCTCACACCTGTAATCACAGCACTTTGAGAGGTTGAGGTGGGTGGCTCGCTTGAGTCCAGGAGTTCAAGACCAGCCAGGGAAACAAAATGAGATCCCATCTTTACAAAAAAAAAAAAAAAAAAAAAAAAAACCCAAATTTAAAAAAAAAAAAAAAAAAAAAAAAAATAGCTGAGTGTAATGGCCTGAAGCTATAGTGCCAGCTACTCAGGAGACTGAGGCAGGAGGATCACCTGAGCCCAAGAGCACGTAGCCTAAGTCCAAGAGGTTGCAGTGGGCCATGATCGTGCCTCTGCACTCCAGCCTGGGTGACAGGGTGTGACCCGGTATCAAAAAATAAAAAAGCATTATTGTTATGCAAAGCCCTGTGAACAAATGAATTTATGGTGATTGACTTATGAAGGCTTGACTTATGAAGGCTTTCAAGCCATTGCTGTAGATAACTTGTTTTATTTCACATAGTTATTTTTAAAGATGAATAACATTTTTTGCTTTTTGTTTTCCTTTAAAGTGCTCTAGATCTGGTGTGAGTGGTGGCTCTCGAAGCCTCAACATGTCAAGAAGAGACTCAGAAAGCACCCGCCATGACTCGGAAACTGAAGATATGTTATGGGACGACCTGTTACATGGCCCAGAGTGCCGGTCATCTGTCACCAGTGACAGTGAGGGGGCCCATATGAATACCCTTCACTCAGGGACCAAACGTGACCCCAAAGAGGATGTTTTTCAGCAGGTCTGTGCAGGCAAGATAAGAATAGCTGGTATTTATTGTGTTTTTACTGTGTATCAGACACTGTGTTATCTCATTTAACTTTACAGTAATCCTTTAGGGTAGAAACTATTATTATCCTCAGTTTAGAGGTGAGGAGATTGTGCAGAGCCTGTAAGTGAAGGTGTTGGAACTAGAACTCAGGGAGAAATAATCTCGAGTTGCCATAACCTAAATTTTTCTTTACATTACTTTTTCAAATTATTTTTCTTAGAATGGTCCTTAATGTTTGTTTATATTTTGTATGAGTAGACTTTGCATATAGAAAATATAATATACCCTATATTTTCATGAACATCACAGTATTACATATTAATTACTAGAAATTGGCATTGCTTGCTTTTTCAATAATACATAAATAATGCTTTTAATTTCAGGTTTTATATTAATATCATAAAATCAGATAGCCATTAGAAGGTATTTCAACCTTCCAACCAAGGTAGAGATTCATTCTACATCTGTGTAAATTTTTACCATCTGTCATTTAGTGATAATAGTTCCTACTTAGGAATAGTGTGAAATAGCTAATGAGATAATACAAAGGACATAGCATAATACCTGGCAAGAGTAAGTATCCAATAAATGTAAGCATTATTATCAATATCTCCATCAGATGATCAGTTGGCCTCTTCTTAAATACTTCTGGAGCTGGAGTGCTTGTTATTTAATGATACAGCTTATTCTACTTCTGGATAGATTGAATGATGAAGAAATAATTCTCCCATCAATCATTGCTTAATGTCAATGATTGTTATGGTTCTTAGGTTTTTGTTCTTTAGGCTAAATATTTCCACATTGGCTTGCAAATAGTGGATGATGGATATACATTTGTTTATCGAATTCTCTTGATTCAAAGTTACCATTGATTTAGGTTATACATTTTCATTTAAAAAATCCATTCATTAAATGTATATAATTTTTAAAAAATGAACTAGAAACAATGTAAATTTTCTCATTAAAGTTTCATTTGTTTGTTTTTTGAGACAGAGCTCACTCTGTTGCCCAGGCTGGCATACAGTGGTACAATCATGACTCACTGCAGCCTTAACCTCCCCGGCTCAAGCGATCCTCCCACCTCAGCCTCTTGATTAGCCACCATGCTTGGCTAATTTTTAAATTTTCTGTAGAGACAAGGTTGCACTGTGTTGCTTAGGCTGGTCTTGAACTCCTGGGTTCAAGCAGTCCTCCAATTCAGCCTCCCAAAGTATTGGGATTACAGGGGTGAGCCACCGTGCCTGGCTCTCATTAAAATTTTATGCTACTTTTTTGATTTTGCAGTGAGTTTAAATATTTTTTACATTCAGTTTGAAGAGTCATCTGAATTACATTAGCTTTCAGTAGTTATGCATAGCATCATGATAATCTTGATCTCCTTAGCACTCCCCTCCTTTGAGATTTGCAGTATTATTTTAAGACATATATAAGAATAATTCAGTGTGGTAAACTTACTGTGTGAAATTCAATAAATCATTTTCTAATCCTGTTCACCTAGCCTGTTCTTCTTTTATTTCCTGTATTTTTTTTTTTTTTTTTTNTTTTTTGAGACAGAGTCTCGCTCTGTTGCCGGGTGCCAGTCTGGAGTGCAGTGGCGGAATCTCAACTAACTGCAACCTCGGCCTCCCAGGTTCAAGCAATTATCCTGCTTCAGTCTCCTGAGTAGCTGGGACTACAGGCACGCGCCACCACGCCCAGCTAATTTTTGTATTTTTTAGTAGAGACACAGGATTCTACCATGTTGGCCAGGATGATCTCGGATCTCTTGATTTCATGATCCACCTGCCGTAGCCTCCCAAAGTGCTGGGATTACAGGCGTGAGCCACCGCGCCTGGCCCTCCTGTATATCACACTAACCACCCAAGTAAAAAAGTTTCATTCTTGACCCCATTCTTTTTTTTTTTTTTTTTTTTTTTGATGGCGTCTCACTCTGTCACCCAGGCTGGAGTACAGTGGCACAATCTCAGCTCACTGCAGCCTCTGCCTCCTGGGTGCAAGCAATCCTCCTGCGTCAGCCTCCCAAGTAGCTAGGACTACAGGTGCCTGCCATCACACCCAGCTAATTTTTATATTTTTAGGAGAGATGTGGTTGCACCGTGTTTGCCATGCTGGCCTGACCTCAAATGATCCGCCTGCCTTGGCCTCCCTGGGACTACAGGCATGAGCTGCTGTGCCTGACCAGCCTCATTCTCCCCACCCTTAATCACTTGTGTTCTCTTGATTGAGCTGTCTGAATACCTGCATCTCTCTGTTTGTGGTCACCCTGCTTGGTGCAGGCCATCATCTTTTTTTTTTTTTTTTTTTTTTTAAATCGCCCTGCCCAGGCGTAGTTCACCATCTTTCGGGTCCTAACACGTGTGCTCGTGCAGTGCAGGTCATCATCTTAACTGGATCATTACAACAGCTTCTGTAGGCTTGCCTCTCTTTCTTTCGTTTTCCTCGCTACAGCCATAGTGATACTTCTAAAATACAAATTTGATAATGCCGCTTTTTAAAAAGTCCTTTTTTCTTCTTTCTGGATTGCTTGCTGCTTTTATTTATTCTAATACAGTCTCATTCTGTCCATTCTCTCCCTGCTCCTCCCATGGTTAACTTCAATTCCACTAACTTCCTTCTTTTCTTTTTTTTTTTTTTTTTT